AGCATGAGCGTGAGAGAGCGCGCGCTGGCACTGGGGCGGGCTACTTGAGATTTGTGCGGTGCAACTGCAGTGTGGCCGAATACGAAGGCGCAAAACAGACAGCCGAATAGCCGACGATTGCCGCCGACAGCGACAGCAATGGCGTTGGCAACGTTAACGTCGACGTCGACCGCGACCGCAACTGCGACGTTAACAGCGACAACGCTTTGCATTGCGAAGGCCGACGACAAACATTTGATGCTGCTGGCGTTTTGATACTTGTTCGTACTTGCAGAACCCTCCTCGACTCGCGATAAACGGCAGCGCAGTGTGTCGAATTTCATATAGTAGGTGCCCATATTAAATTACACTTGAAAATGTGTCAGATATAACGTTTACCGTTTAACATATATGTATTTACCAATGTGCTTCAGTTCCGTCAAAGTTTAACCGGTTAATCGCAAGAAACTTAATCAAAGAGGATAAAACGTGGATTTTTTTTTTTGGCATATTATTGAATATGCTGCATGTTGTTTGTTGTGCATTGAAGCATTGCCTGTGTGTGTGTGTGTGTATGCGGGTGTGTGTATTCTTTTTTTAAAAAAATTAATTTGCTTGAATTCTTGAACTCTAATGGGACATCAAACCCAGTTAAACTGTTCGAAGTTCGTTTGTGGCATTATTATAAATATGTATACATTTATACAACACACACTCACATTCGCACATGGCTATGCACATGCAATCAAATACATTACACAAACACTCATATTTAAGAGCTACATATGTATGTACATATATGCACATATGTGTGCACATACACACATACATATGTATGTACATACATTCGATTTGTTGCCTCAAAAAAAAAGGGCATCACGGAGCCGTTCTGAATACAAACTAAAATAAAAAAAACATAAAAACTAAACTAAGCTCTTTATCTAATCAAGTCAAAAAAGTACACGACTCTAGTTAATTGGTGAGTATCCATTGAAAGCTGAGCAGAACACACAATTCCAAGGAAGCCGGCACAAAAAGTGTCACGTGCTTTAACAAATATGCCATGATTACCGTTTCCATTATAATGAATGTAACTGGCATATATAAGCCTCAAATACGTAACGGCCAACTATATGGGCAATGCTCAGAGCAGATACACAATACTTTTTCCATATAGCTGGAAATTTGACCATTATCTTGAACAAAAGTTTCATTTTGATAGTTGCGAGAATAATAATGCTTCCAATTTGTTTTTATCAAGAAACGGTTTAATTTATTTATTGAGTTAATGAAAGGAAAAACAGTCACGACAGCAAATATATAAATGTATATTTTTCATGCAACATTTACGTTATATATGTATATATTATTTATATACGTTTTTCATGGAATATGTATATACATATCTACAAAAAGCACTCTAAAGTATTTTTCAGACGGTTCCAAAACCAAAGTTAATCCAGGCTCGAATGTGCTTTGTAAAGAGAATATAAAAGAGAACTTAAATATAAGAGAACTTGCCTAAATTCTTTATGTAACTAATGTTTCTTTGTAAAACTTTGCATAAGATCTGAGTGAACTATTCATATTAGCTTTACTTGACTTTTATGACTATCCCTGAACTGCTATTGAATGCAATTTGAACTAAATTTGAGTTGATTTCCAGACGGCGTGAATATTATAATAAAATTAAATTAACATCAGAAAATATTGAATTATTTCCCCAACATTTTGTCTTATCTGAATATTATCTAATATTGGCTAGGATATTTATTTTGAAATAGGACTAGGAGACATACCCATGCTTAGATTATTAACATACCCACGTATATTTAAGCCCCATAGTAAAGTATTTGATTGATTGTTTTTCTTGCAGCAAGCCCATCTTTGGGCCATTTCAAACTGGCACATCAATTTTGGTTTTCCTATCCGCCACCTGGCGCTGGCGGCGGCTCCTCAAGTGAGTTGCATGTACGATTTAGAAGTTGCAGCATTTTTGATTTCTTGTACGTCTTTTCATAATTTTTCGTTTTTGATTTCCTTGGTTGTTTTTCCTTTATAACGGCAAGTCTCTAAATGTACCCAGTCTCTTGCTCTGTTTACAGTTCGATTAAATATATTCTTGCGTTTGTATACGTACGTATGTAACTAAGTGAACCTGAATCGTATACTCATAGATGTAAAACTATATACTATGCTAAATATCAATACAAATATATGTATGTATCTAAAATATTGATTATGTATCTCGAAATTCTTGGTACGTTTATTAAAATGAGACTGTTATCGTGTAGTACGAGTGCTAAGTACCATATGTACCAAATGCTATATAAGTATATTATATAGTACAACACAAAAAAAACTCAGTCACAATTTAAGTTCTAAGTTGTTTTGTTTTCAACTTCATTTTGGATAAACAATTACCTAGGCAAATGCATAACGGCGCCTACGTATGTATGTATGTAGCTTATAGTTTCCAGACCAAGAAGAAGCAATCTGCAAGGTATGAGAACACATATAAGAGTGTGTGTGTATTTAGGAACAGTAAGCGAAAACAAATAGCTTAGTTTTTCAATTTTCCAAACATTCACAACACGTTGTACATAAATTAGAAAACTAGTTAGTTTGGGATCGATTAGTGGGGCTAGAAAATAATATATATGTATATCAGACATTGAAACAGGAATTTAATTGTATGTTTTGTTGATATTGTGTTAACTCGTTTCTCTATGTATATGTAGACGTATGTTTTAACTGTGGCTGCTGCTGCAACCAGATGTATTGAAATTGAAAAATTGTTTTTGCTTAAAACATACATAAAAGCATAGTTAATGCCAATTGCAAAAATGAGCAAAGCAATGCAAAAGCAAATCGTTTTGAACTAAATTATTAATCATTCACAATTTTGTTGTTTCTTTTCTTTTCTTTGATATTGTGTCGTTAATCCACCTTGACACGCCCACCGCCCACCTCCACGACCACGTATCTGCCACAGCTCAGCTACAGTTCTAGCAAGATCGTATATATGTAATACTTGCCATACATACTAACATTAAACGGTACATCAACATTTTCAACATGATTCGTAGACAGAATAACACATGAGCACACACACGCGCACATACACATATGTGCATAGCTGCAAGAGTATTTGTATATTCTGTGTTTACTCGACCTCGGCACACGACAGCAAAACACACACACAAAAAAAAGATAACAAGCAATAACAACAGCAACAACAGCACACACACACACACACACACACAGACACACACACACACTCACACACACACACTCACACACACACACACGCCCACGCCAACGCACACACTGCCACTGCACACCACATGCAGCTGTTGCCATTTATTCGATAATTTGTTGTGCCCGGTTGTAACGGTAAACTGCCCTCTTCATGGTATGCGCACACACGCACACACTCTCACGCTGCTAATTTCGTCGATAAACGCCGCCGCCGCTGTTCAAAATAAAAACAAACGAAAAAAAGAATTAAAATCAAAATTAAATTGAATATATAACAAACAAACAAAAAATGCAAAAACCAAGCAATTAAATAAAAGCAAAAACAAAGAAAACAAAAACAAAAAACTAATATTTAAAATAATAATAAAACTTTCCGCTGCTTTGCACACGCAACACACGCACTCGTCAGGTTGCAAATTTAAATGCTCAAATATCATACAATCGACACACCCACTGTAACCACCTCCGACAAGAACAATAACAACTACAACTACAACTACAACTACAACTACATCAACAATAACATCAACAACAACAAAGAACAACAACAAAACCAACTGACACATCTAGAGGTAAGGAGTACGCCTATCTCACTCAATCTCGCTCTTGCTCTCTGTCTCTCTCTCTCTCTCTCTCTCTGTCTCTCTCTCTCGGTCTCGTAGTGTTGCCTAAATTGAATTTGAAATTTATCGCATATTTTCTGTTTTATATTCGTATTCTCTTTAGTATTATTATTATTATTTTTGTTTTTTCGTTTTGAATTCTGTTTATTATATTAGATTGTTTTGCTATGGTTGCAGAAAGCATTATTTTTCCCAAATTTTGTTTGCAAATATTGTCTGCAGTATAAGTACAATAATTCGTTTTTAGTTTGCCCCATTTTTTATTTCCATTTCGTATTGTTTGCTCTTGTTGTATACTTATGCACATACATAAGTATGTCGAATAACTGTAAGCACATACATAAGTCCATAAGTAGAATATCGCGTCTCTCAAATATTTCTCGCTTCAAGTGATTCCTTTTCAAAGGTTATGGCACATACATACATACATACATATGTATGTACTTACATTTAATACAATTATTGTACAAAAGTGTGGTTGGTTCAAAGAAAATAAGAACGAGAAGAAGAAGATGATGAAGAAGAAGCACAACTAACACAAACGCAAATCTGGTATGTATGATTGTATACACAACTTATGCATATATGTACTACTTATTTTAATGCAAATTGAAGGTCACGCTTTTAACCTAATGACACGAGCTGAAAGTGTAGCTTATTGAATTAGGCAAATGCATAGAAAGCATTCTTCATAATTGTTTAAGTACACTTAAATATAGTTTGCACTTAAAATGTGTCAGCTGTGTCAAAGCATATGCGAACAATAGCTTTTATTCAATTGTAATCAAATGCTCAAGCGTTTAGCTGGTGCTTAACATACTGATACTCATTCTCATATACATATATGCTTCTCATATTATTACTAAAATAATCTTAGTAGCTCTAGACTACTGATAATAATTAATACAAATTAGATGTATCTTATATAAATAACTAAAAATAATAATTATTTTCAATACCTATCCAAGCTTTTGCTTTCATATTGTAAGAAAATAAACTTCACTTGCAAAAAAATAATATTTAATTATCTGATTTTGGGACATCACATAGCCCATCATCTTAAGACCAATAATAATGTAATATAGTTCCACTTAAATTTCGTAGCATACTTTTGGGCCAAGTCGATGTATATAAAGTAAAGTTAAAAGTAGTTTAGTATAGCTTTATTTCGTGAAATCGAATAAGAAATCAACTAGATTTATGAAAGTGAACCATCTGCCAAATGTAGTACATGCATACATAAGTACAACAATTCCTACATACCAGTTTAAAATTTATAGTTTCGCTTATTCGTAGCTATAGTTAGATCTATATAAATAGTATATGAATTGTGCACGACGGAATGCGACAGGGAAGTGGTTGTAGCTTGTCAAAAGTCTTCTAGAACTAGTTTAGTTTGTTGATTATTTTTGCTTTTCGTTTTGCTTGTGCATACGTTTGTTTTTTGTTATTTGTTTTTGTATCCTATAAATACGGCATGCTGATCCCGCTAAAACTTACACCATGTAAATAATTATGTATGTATCTTGATTTCGTATGTATTGTATGTTCGGTATGCTCATGATTCGTTTTAATTTGGTAAGGATTTCTTGCTTTTCGAATTGCGCATGGAGAACGCAGCCACCCGTCGACGATGGCAATTGAATAGCTGTACATATTAGTTATCAATCGGCATTTGTTTCTGTTTCTCTTTTTTTATTCGTTTCACAACACAGACAGCAAAACAGCGCAAACCGACGAGGAAAAGCAACGCGATCGGCAGCGCAACGAACGTGAGGCCAAAAAGGAAGAGCAGGACGCTATCAATTATAAGGTGAGTGTGTCAGTGCATGTGCCTCTCTCTCTCTTTCTCTCTCTCTCTCTCCCACCCGTCTCTTTCAATCTATCTCCCTGTCACTCGCTCGCTGAATGCGTATGTGCTTGTGTGTGTGTGTGCGCGCGTGCGTACGTGCGTACGTGCGGGCGTGCGTGCGTGTATTCGTGCGCGTCTAACGCTGTGTGTGTGTGTGTGCAAGCAGACGCGGCCCCAACTAAAACAAAAACAAAAAAATATAAATAACAACTAAAACAAAACAAAACAAATAGAGAAACTAAAAACAAATCGAAAAACGAAAAAAAAAACATAAACATTTATTTATGCAATCCGCTTCATCAAAAATGCAAAGTGCGCTCAATGATGAGAAACTCCATAAGTACTGCTCGTAATTAGGCACAAATATGGCCGTAGAGCTGATGATGAATTTATAGTTAAAATGCACTTTGCAACAATTGCATGTAAACAGCGCGACAAGGAGCAGCGTGAGGCGCGTTTGCTGGACTTTGAAATACGACGGCAGCAAAAGCGTGAGGAGCAGAACCAGCAGCGGCAACAGCAGCAGCAATTACAGCAGCAGCATCAGCAACACCAGCAGCAACAACAACAACAGCAACAACAACAGCAGCAGCAGCAGCAGCAGCAACAACAGCAGCAGCAACAAAGCGAAAAGAGTCCACCCACAACATCGTCGCATTCACAGCAGCAGCAACAACAGCAGCAGCAGCAGCAACAACAGCAGCAACAACAGCAGCCGCAGCAGCAGCAGCAACAGCAACAACAGCAGCAACAACAGCAGCCGCAGCAACAGCAGCAGCAACCGCAGCGCCAGCAATTACAGCTGCAACAAGGCGCTGCAACACAGGTCAGCACCAGTGGACGGGCTCACACGCCGGACACACCCAAGTTGCAAACACCACCGGATCGCTCGCTGCCGCCCGCCTTTCGCAGCCGCTCCATTGAGCGGGAAATTCAATACGAACGCAAACGCTTCTCGGTACAGGAATCAGCCGAATTCAAGGTTTTTGTGTGTTCTCAATCTTAATGCGCTGCTCTGCCATATTAGGAACATTCTTTAAATTGACTGTGTTTTTCTCTTTTCGGTTCTTTTGTTTTTCTTGCTTCACTTTGGTTACGTGTAGGAGGCCGTAAGTACGACACCATCTCCACAAACGCAAACCTTTACCGGAACGCCGCCGACAGCATACACGGCGGCATTGGCGGGACCGCCGGCAACAGCGGCAGCTGCAACAGCTGCTATAATACCCATCCTACCGCTCGGCGTTGCGACGCTGCGCGATGATTCTACGGAATCCGAGCAGTCCGTGACATGTGCCCAAACGCAGCCGGATGCCTACCATCGCATCATGTGAGTATATAAATCAATGCTATATATACGTAACATACATACACATATATATGTATCTATGATATTTACTATATCAATCTACATGATGTGAAATCAAAAACCAAAATTTATAAGAATCTATGCGCAAATGACACGAGCTGATTGCCATAAAACAGAGTTGGATGAGAGTTATTGAACACTTTTCAATCGTAGCTTTCAGGTGCTTTCAAAGCTTTATGTGTTACGTGCGGTACTTAAAATCGCTTCTAGCAAAAGCTTTTTAAAAATCGAATTTAAATTTTCTTATATTTTTTTTGTATTTCACAAAAAAAAACCGAATTAAATAAAAAAATCAGCTTTGTAGCATTTTCTCTTATTTAACCCAGCCCAGCAGACGCGCAAACGCTGAGAATTCGCGGCGAGAGCTTTTGTATGCGTCATGTTTTGGGGCGTGTTTGCATTTCTCATGCAAAGCTTTTCGGCCATTCAGCTTTTGTGTGGTGTTCCACACTAATCGCAACACAAATAATGGCATGGTGAATGGTCCAATTAGCCGAGACATGCACCGCAAATCGGATACTAGAAATACTACAAAGTGCAGGGTGTCGAAATTATATGGTTGGAATATTTAAATTATACGCTTCATCTAATTTTTCGAAATTTCTGCATTTCTGTCCAACTATCCGTCTGTCCAACTGTCCGTCTGACCAACTGTCCGTCTGTACATCTGTCTAACTCGGTTTTTATACTATAGACATTGTAAGATTTAGCTACCACCCCCATTCTCCCATCCAAAACTATATAAATCCATTTTTGAAGCTAAAACCTTGGGCTTGGGTATACACGCACATTTAGTTGCTGTTTTGAACCCCTGAAAATTTCACACATTTTTGAGTACAGACTCCTGAGTTATTCAAGACCACGCCAACAATATTGTAAGGCAAGGGGTTGTCATATCAGCCGATTGCGTTTCTTTGTATGTATGGATAAGTACAAGTATAAGTACAAAAATAAGTTCGAATGCTGCTAGATACAGGGTATACCTTAGTCGGGCATCATGGACTAGAGCACTGTTGTTTCATCCCTAATCTTACAGACATATCATTTGAAAGTTCCGTCTGCACGTATTTCAATAAAGTTTACAATTTTGCACACATTATGGCCTTGGTACGACACTGTTAATTATTCATTCTCAGCTGAAGTCTATCGGCAAAATTAAATCGTTGCAGAATTATTAATTTTGTTCCCATAGTATAATTTAATAGTTATTTGTTTCGCTCGTATATATATGGTATAAATATGTGGATTGAGTGCTTTGTGCAATGCACTTATTGCTGGACAAGCTCATATATTCAGTAGTGCAACAGACATAGGTTGATTATAGTACGATTCAATATATCTGCGGAAGAGATTTGAGTACGCGTTAAGTAAAAATATTCTGATTGTGAATCAACAGGGCTTTATATGTTGAGATTTGAATACTAAAACTAGTTTTCACTTTAATTTGCCAGTTTTCTAAATTATTACTCATACGACATGTGGAGTGAGAAAAGCATAATTTGTAGTTGGCTGACAAATATATAAATTGGCAAATGGCGCTGAGAGGCCCTTATAAGTGAGTTAATTCATATTTATATACTTATTATCAAGTTCAGGTTCAATTTTCAAGTTTCCTATTATCTGGGATATATTCAGCTAATAAATAAGCATTTTAAAATGCCATCGAGAGGATTTAAAAGGTTTAGTTATTGATAATTATATATTATCATGTCATTTTTTCAAGCCTTCTACTATATTACTCATACGACATGTGGCAAAAAATCAAGAAAATTTTAAGCGGGCTGATAAATGTATAAAATCGAGCTTAATAATAAAGTTAATTGCCAATCAAATTTTCAAGTAATTTGCTTAAAAGTTTTAACTATATAACACATACGACATGTGGTAAACGAAAAATACGTACAAATTCGACTTAACTAAATATGTATATTAATTTCAAAATGCCCTTAAGACGATTAACTACATGAGTTAGTTTGCTTTTTAATATAATAATCTCAAACGTGAGTTAATTGACAGTTCCATATTCAAGTAATTTATCAAGTTTTCAACTTTATTACTCATACGACATTTAATAAATATTTTAAAGTGCCCTCGACAGGATCTAATAGGTTTATTTACTGATAATTTCTTCTACTTCTACTTTATTACTCATACGACAAGTAATTTTTCCAAGTCTGTTACTATATTACTCATAGGACATGTGGTAAAAAATCTGTGAAATTGTCGTGAGCTGATAAATATATAAAAACTTAGAAATGCGAAAGCTTAATAAGAGAGATAATTGACATCATATGTTCAAGTAATTAGTGTTAAAGTTTTTATTATATTACTCATACGACATGTGATAAAAAAATCTTACAAATTCGAGCTAACTAAATATAATAATTTCAAAACGCCCTTAAGACGATTATCTAAGTGTGTTTTTAGTTTGTTAATGACAAATATATATTCAAAAAAATTTTCTTCAAACCTTTGCACATTACATTGCGTATACGACACGTAGTTAAGAAAATAATATCTTGAAAATTCTAGTTGGCTTAATAAGAGAGTTAATCGCCAATCATAAGTGCAAGTAATTAGTGTTAAAGTTTTTATTATATTACTCATACGACATGTGATAAAAAAATCTTACAAATTCGAGCTAACTAAATATATTAATTTCAAAACGCCCTCAAGACGATTAACTAAGTGAGTTTTTAAGTTGGTAATGACAACAATATATTTAAGTAAGTTTATTCAAGGCTTTCATTACATTGCTCATACGACACGTGGTTAAAAAAAAAAACAAAACTTTGAAATTCTAGTTTGATATATACTCAACTACAGCCATTCAGATGGTTTCAAAATTGAGTCAATCGACAGTTGCAAAATCAAATAATTTTTCAAATTTTCAACTATATTACTTATACGACACGTGGTAAAATAAAATATTAATCAATTGTGGCATATTGTTAAAATGTCCTCAATTTAACTCACAATTTATCATATACAAATCATCTAGCATAAAGTAAACAACCTTAAGTTAAATATGGAAAATGTTTGCTCATTACTCATACGCCATGTGGTAGAATACTTTGCATTGTTCCATTTCTGACCATAAAAGCCGATCATAACTGTTCTTATTGTGCTGGAAAAGTTTTTTCAATTTGTGTCTTCTTTGTTTGCCTTGATTCATTTATCTTGGTTGGCACAGGTTAATTAAATAAATTATGCTCTAAGCAATCAGCTTGTCCCACTTGAGACTAAGTGGCCAACTTACATATATACACTCCCCGGCGTTTTCTCTGAAGGCATAGTTCGCCCTAAATATGATATTTATATGCTATCTGTGTCAGGGTGGACTTCTGTGTGTGGTTACAAAGTACACCAGGCAAAAAAAAGTGACAAAAAAAAAACAAACTGTAAACTCAGCTTACGCTATGCTTAAGCCCGAAAAAAAGTGTGGCCACTTGCGACTCGACACAAATTGTGCATGAGTACAACATACATATGTATGTACACGGCATGTGAGTCTATATGAACATATCATGTATATTCATGTATGTGTACGTTTACGTACATACATATATACGACAATGTACGTGTCCATTTCCATTTGCCTGGCGAAGTCACATTTTGGACAGAACATAGTAACAAGAGCCGCACAGTTGTGCCTACCAAAATGTCGGTGGTGGTGATGGTGGTGATGGTGGTGGGGCAGGGCGTTTTTTTTTGTGGGCTTGATGGGCTGCACTGCGGTTTTGTGATGGTGCGCTCGAAAACTGGAACACGTGTGTGCCGCTCACAAATTCACCACAAAAACAGAGAGCCAAAAAAGCTGCTGGGCTCTGTTACTCAATTGCAATTGCGCGTGCTGTTAGTCTGCTCTTATGCTCTCCCTCTCGTTTTGCCGCTCTCTGTCTCTCACTTTCTCTCTAAGTCTCTCGCCTTGCCGCTTCTACGACATTTTCTTTTATTTTATTGTTGTTTCCTTTTTTTTCTTCTCCGCTTTTTTGCGCTGGTACAAATAGCACGTGCGTTGTCGTCGTTTCTATGCCAATGCCGATGCCGCTGCCGATGCCGCTGCCGATGCCGCTGCCGATGCCGCTGCCGATGCCGATGCCGAGATGCCGCCGCTTTCTTGTTTCGCCCGTTGCCATTGCCAGTGTTTTCTTCTCTTTTTTTTATTATTCGCACCCACGTTTGCGTCCCGCCGCCCGGCTCTGCAGCAACTTTTTGTTCGTGGTGTGTTGTGGCCGTTGCGCCAGGTCGGTCGGTTAGCCGGTCGGTCGGTCGGTCGGCCGGTCGGTCGTTCGGTCGGTCGGTCGGTCAGTCGGTCGGTCGGTCGTTCGTCGAAGTCTGCTTTTTGCTTTCTGCCTTGTGCTTTATGCTTTCTGGCTCTGTCACTGCCAGCGTATTCGCCATTTTCGCTTTGCTGTTTTCGGCTTGCGGGCCAAAATATTTTGTCTTTCGCCTGTCGACTTCATTGCGGTGTTACGTGTTTCGCGTGTCAGACGCAACGAATGGCCACGGCGCGCGGCTAAAGCGGCAATAACATACAAAAATAAGAAACAAATAAAAACAATAAGAGAATTGAAAAAGCGAACGACAACAATAAAAAAAATTTATTTTAAAACATTAATAAATTGTAGAATAGCAATAGTGAATAGCATAAAACACATATGTATGTTTTCATGTATGTAAACATTTATAAAATACAGTGTTTAAAAATGTCCAAGAACGCACTTGCTTATATATATATATATATATATATATATATATATGCACATATAGGCATACATATGTACAACACATGAGTATGTAACAATATCCACAAATCAAATCAAATTGTGAATTGCGCCCGTTAAGTGCCATAAATGATGCGACATTCGGCGCCCAGATCCCCGAATCTTGTTTATTTACATGCACATATTTATATATAAATATACTTATATATAGCTATCAACTATAGCTGATATTTTATATCTGGCTGATATCTTGTTGGCTCTTGATTTTATCTTCTGCTGCCCATATAGTCGTATATATTTGTTAGTGTTTTGCATACGTAACATAACATTGATGCAATTTTGGCTTCCTTCCAGTTGCTCTTCCTGCTCGCTGAGACTACTTGAGTTTTTTGTCCCAGCATCTGAAAGCATCTTCAAGTGTTCACAGGTCTTCATCTTTCCACCAAATCGAACATCTTTCTCACACGTGCCGGCAGTAAACGTTTGAAAAGCGATTTACCTATAATTAAATTGCAGAAAAATAAAAAAAAAATTAATAATAATAATAATTTGATCACAAACACTATTTTCTTTTTAGTGATTAATTTAATGATTGCTTTATTAGTAACGTGTAGAATATAACAGAAATATACCTTTTGATTTAACTTTTTTTTTTTTGTGTTGACTAAAGTTAAAAAACAAAAGTAACGACTTTTTGCCTTTTAAGCCTACATGTGTAAGACACGCACGTGCGGACCAGTGCGCCTGTGCCGCATGTGGCATGTTGTGCGTCGCAACATCCTTATGACAATTTGCGGCAATCAGTTATTTATTTGCAACTATTCAAACAAAGCATCTGCGAGTAATCCAAGTTTTCAAGGGCACAATAAGCCAGGCTGCTGTCAAAAGAGGATTCTATATCCACTTGTAATCATATTGGGAAGTGTTTCAATACATTTAAGCCTGCATCTCGCTTATATAAAAGAATGTGCAGACTTTGGGATATATGTACGTATTTTATGCAGATGTGTTTCAAAGTCTTCGTCAATCAATTTGTCCACCCTCTGGTCGGCCACCTGACAGCTGAGATGAATGACACATGTAAATAATATGCACAACAACGACGGGAAAACAAATTTGTAAACGCTTTGTAAATGCCAAACTTGTCAAGGCTTAAACACATTGTTTAAAGCTCGACGCTTCTTTAAGCCAAAGACAGAGGGCAACAGAGGCCTTGCAAGCTATTTAATAAAAAGCAAGAGGAACAAAATTGTTCACATTATATTTGATTATTTTGTGCTTATTTGCTTATTACTTGCCTCATATATAATTGAGTCTATATCGAGTTGATTTGTCGTGTTTTCGTGCAGTCTTTTTGGTCGCATGCGCGTGTCATTTGATCTTTTGCCCATAGAAACATGACAAGCGTTTGAATGTTTCGAATGTTGCATGCCACACGAACTAGCTCGCACATGCACACACACACACACACACACACACACACACACACACACACACACACACACACACACACACACACACACACACACACACACACACACACACACACACACACACACACACACACACACACACACACACACACACACACACACACACACACACACACACACACACACACACACACACACACACACACACACATGCATGCACGTAAACATGCGTGTTGCGATCGACAGAAGATGTATTGAAAAAATATTTACACGATTTGTATCGATTGTTTGGCACGTTTCTTAGCGCAATAAGCTTGAGATAAAACCAATTAGTATTACTGAAAACACAAAGTATCTATAGATACACTAGCTCACTTGACCAGGATTTAAAATGTGAAAGCAATGACAATTATTCATTATTTATTCATTCATTTATTGCTAATAAACAAATTTACCGGAATTTAGGCGGAGTTCGGGGACATAGAAAAATATTAATATGTGTGTATATAATACTTGCCGCGTAGGCTGAATAAGAGCACTTTATTAATTTCCAATGCCAATTTCCTAATTATTTTTAATTTCACTATACTACAGGCAACATTGCTGTGCAAGTGCCTGGCCATTGGTCACGGCAATTTGCAGTTAAAACAGGGACACAGAAAATGCGGCATATCGACCAGTTGCCAGTTAGCAGCAGAAATGCGGCTCCATTTGTTTTCATTTATACGGAAACTTACATATATATATATATATATGTGTGAGAGTGAAGTTTCTACGTATTTAGGTATTTATTTTATTATTTATAATGCCAGTTACGTGCTGTGCCAGCAACAAGCCCTCCCCTCCATACACACACACACACACACACACACACACACACACACACATACATACAACTACTCATGAGACTTACAGCAGTAAGCAATTACATGAATCTGTGCATCTGCGGCAAGTATATATAAACAAATATCACCTGAGCTTAATGTAATGCCCACCACATACGGGCATGCATATGAATGTCAGTATAATGCCAGTTGTTCAAATATTTGAAACAGATGCGCATGCATACATATATCTATATATATATATATATATATATATATATATATACTTATATATCAATTATTCAGATATACACATTCGCAAAAGTCCTTTTTCCTGCTAGCTCTATTACAAATTAATACTGACATATGCAGTCTAGGACAGAGGTAAATGAAATAAGCTCAACTGCAGTTGCCGTTCGCAATTTCATTTCCAAGCTGTCGTCGGCTTGTGCTGCACTCGTAAAACACTTTGCAACACTGGCCGTGTAAACTCACGGTAAAACAAGGGGTGTGAGAAGGACAACAACAACAAAAAGAAGCTCAAAACAACGCGGCTTGAAAAGTGTCACAATAAAAAATATATAGTGTAACAATGCGCTGCGCGTGTCTGCGTATGTTTGTGTGTGTTTGTGTGTATGGATGTGGATGTGGACTATTTTCAGCATCAGCGCGAGACAAGTCAAGGCTTGACAATCTGGTGGGCGGTGGGGAGGTGTCTCAGCCAGTGCCACGATGCCCATGTCCTCGTCCGCGTCCGCGCCCGCCCCCGCCTCCGCGCCCGCCACCGCGTCCGTGGCAGCTGCAACGAAGTGCATAAACATAAAAATTGCATTTATTTTCATTTTTCCCATTTGTTTTTTTTTTTTTTTATTTTTGTTGCTCTTAGGCCGACCGCAAAATCTCTGTGCGGAGCGCGGCTGGTATTAAGATCAAGGGCCTGGCCCAGCAGTTGGGTTTATGTAATTGCGGGCCGTGCGGTTCAGTTGCCATAGAAGCACACAAACAGCAGCCAGAAGTAGCCCCAGCTGCCAGCCAGCGCGAGCGTGGCCTAGACTTTCAATTTATAGGCCAAATATGTCAAAGCAAGGCTAAGGATAAATATATATATAGACATATAGCTGCATATAAGGTCACAGCTAAACAGATAATCCCCAATGAGACAATTTAAACGCTAAACAAAATCAATAAATGGACTTGCTATATAATGCACACACACACACACACACACACACACACACATCTGTCACAAAATCTCACAGCTACGTGTGCACTTAACACAACGGGCAATTTAGTATAGCATACATTCGGGAGCCACTGTACGCGCTTAAAATCCACTGCTGCTAATCTAAAAATAATTGTCTCTAATACCACATTACACAATGCACTAAATCGAAAGCTTAGTTAGCCCCCTCCCCGCAGCACTCATATAAACCCACAATGCACACACCTCAAGTGCTAAGCGCTTATTATACTTATCAGATGAGACGACAATATATAATTACCGTTAATGTTCGTATCGGTGATTTTAAGAGAGTTCTCTCCATTCAACGTGGCATTTGAATAAAAATTCAAAGTTCTTTAGTAATAAATGTTGAATAACAGCTTAAAGCTTCTGGCAAATAGGAGTTATGAATCGGTTTAGCGTTAATTTGCTGCAGCCAACTTAACTGCATGCTAAATCAACTCTGGCAACGCCGCATTTCATAATAATGGCTGGCAGTGCCCAAAACAAATATTGAATTCAATTAAATATTTATATATGTTTTATAATTCAATATTTAACAGCCGCTAGCTGTTTGTATGGGTCCACCTTTCCTATAGAGCAAAGTGAGGGAGGCCACTGTGTCACTGTGTGTGTGCGGTTTCAATACGTAAATAAACATTAATAAATGCAAAAAGGCAATGTTGAACATTGTTATTTAAATAACTGTGTTCTCGTTCTCTTTTAAATACAAATTAAAAGTTTTTTATAATATTGCGAATGTCCAGCCAGCGATTATATGATTTATATAACAATAATTTCCAGTGGTTCGCTCCTAGGTGGTTCGCTCCTAGGCTAGGTGAACCAGTTTTTCCACATCTATGAATCCAATTGATGGTTCAAACCTTAGTTCCCGCAAACTTAACAACTTTTTGCTGGTGACTAGCTTAGCTAGAGTGTTAAACTAGTCAAAAACTAAAACAATTTTTAAATTTATATTTTTGCGCTATTCAGGTGAACCAAATCCAATTCGTTTTTAAGCAAGGTCGCAGCCTTGTTTATATGTTCAATTATTATTCGTAATAAATAAGTGCTCACAATATTTGTTGCAATTGATTGTAATTAAAAATTAATCAGCATTCGAAATATGCTGTTGAACAACTTAATGCACTTCCTGCAGCTGCCTTTATAAAATCAATATATATGCGAATAATGTAAGCAATATCCATAGTTTGTGCTGTTGTTTCCACTCGGAACTGCCGAGCAGAAATTGTGTAGTTACCGGGCCTCATGTTGGCGGCACTTTGGGTATATATCCTTTCCTGACCGAAGGTCGGCATGCCAGAAGTCACGGGCCGACGGGCCGGTAATAAAAATTAGGCATTGGTTCTTAGCCAAAGTCAATGCTGCGCCTGGGTCATAATGTTTTTTGCTTACGGAGCACAAAAATTTGCATTTTAGCCCTTGGTTCTGTGTGTGTGTGTGTTTTTTTCTTTCTCTTGTTGCGTGACCAGCCACGTGAGGTGGCATAGGCTGGCCCTGGTTCTACGGCCAATGGGCTAATGTTTGGTTTCAGGTCACGTTTGCAACTGTTTTCAAAAAACGAAAAAAAAAAACCCTACCTCGAGTCATCATTGATCAACATTTGTCAGGCTTATACGGGGAAAAGGCAGTGCACGGAAAATGAAGGATCCCGGTTCGAGTTCCAGGCTTTTTTATTGTTGTATTGCCTTATACGAAGCTACCAATTAAAAATATAATTTGATAGTGTGTAACTAACTGCCTCATTTTCAATAATAACCATAATAACAACATGCTCTTCAGATAATTTGATAAATATGTTAGCTAACTAATCGTTGTTCATTCAACTAGTATCATTTCTGTGTGTTGTAATAGGCAAATTAAATGTTTGTTGTTGATTTGACGCGTCCGTTTTTATTGTGCTGTGTGGCCCAACACAGTTTGTTGGTGTCACGAACTTTGACCCCAATACTTCAACAGCCTTTTGTTTGAGTGTTGTTGTCCTGGATGTGGCCGTGGTCGCTTACAGTTACCCATTGTTTTGTATTGAAAAGCCATAATAACAAAGACTGCAAGCGATGCCCGTTGTATTGTAACTCGACAGCCTAATACCCTGGAGGTACACAAAGGGCCTAGAGCCCTTAATTTATCATGCACTTCTTGTTTTATATTGAAATATCTGCCTATGCTGTAAAGAGTTTTATGTTGCCAAGCATAATGTGGAATGAAGATGGTTGAGAATAGAGTTTGTGCCGAATGTTAATAAAGGTCCATTCTCTAAATTGTACGAAATGAAATTCTTACTATCTAATGCATTTAAAAACAATATATACTGGATTAGGCATATATTTCATAGGGCATATTTGTCAACGTTATAGTTGAAAACATTCCAACAAATATACTTCAACTACTTTTGTGTGTGTGTGTGTGTGTGTGTGTACATATGTGTGCTGTGTGGTTTCGGCATCAAAACGAATGTTTAATCCATACTCTAGAATCCAACAATAACAAACTTTTGACTGGACTTGCCTTAAAGTAGCAGCTACAGCTAAAAGCTGCTGTGAAACATTCAAATTGTGATTATTAGTCAAGTTTAAGAAAAACTAGTGTACAAATCCAATAAACAGTTAAGAAATCAACAGAAAACAAAACACAATTCAAGCAGCACAACGAAAAGAGAAGCCAAAACAAACAAGAATAAGAATAATGATGGAAACCATTTAATGTGAAAGCAAAGGAAACGGTTAACGGTTAACGGGAGAGCCGCTCAAGATGTCCATGGTATGCAGTCTGAATGGCGATGGCAGCCAGTCAGCAAACAGCACCAATACAAATGCAAACACAAACGCAAATACAGCAACAAACACAAATTCAAATACAAACGCAATTGGGTCCACGGCCACGCACACAACGTTCGACTACACGCAACAGCAACAGCAACAGCAACAACAGCAGCAGCAACAACAACAACATGATGTGCCCAATGCCAGCACCCCGCTGCTGCTGGGCCACGAGTCGGGCGGCTTGAGCGGCGTTGCCAACAGCGACGTTGGCAACATTGGTAGCGGTACAACCATAACGGTACCCCAGCCGCCTGTCATCTTAGGCACAGCGAATTTCACGGCAGCGGAACCGGCTGCGGCGTCAGCGTCAGCGTCAGATACAGTGGTTAGCATGAATAGCCGTACTTTGAATGTGTCTGGCATGACGTTGCCAGGCACATTGAATTTCGTAATGGGCGCCACGTCCGCGCAGGCGGCGACCAACAATGACAACAACAACAATATGGACAATGCGAGCGACGACTCGAACCCGGTGACCATTTACAGGTAAAGCGAGTTTCTCTAATCCATAGTTGACCTTGAGCGCTTGCATTGAAAAACTATCGAAAGCGATAGTTGCAATAGTTTGCATGGAAACGATAGTTATAATAAGGATATTCCCCGGTAAAACGTATACAATTACAAAATATTGATTTTCAACTGTTTCAGATGATTATTAAACGAGTATCGATATTATTTAACTAATCAATTTATTACAAATTTCCCAAAGTATATTATTATTTTAATTGAAGCATTTTAATGCCCATCCATTTGCAGGTGCCGGGCCCCGATAGCGTCCCTCGACTGCATGGAGGAGTTCAGTGGTACGGGCGGTCATCTTGATTTCGGTATCGAATTTCTCACTATTATATAACCTTATAATTTTTTGTTCTTTTAGTTGATACTCTTCGATTGCTTGGCTTGTTGTATTTTTTCTATAATTGCATATGTACAATACATACATATCAAAGACGTATAAGTACCCGTACATACTTGCTCTCGAACACCCGATTTTTGACTAGTGGTGCACGCGTATAGAGTTTTTAATTTGAACACGAATCAACTCAAGTGGTACGAGCTGCTAAACGAAAATGTTCTTAACCTCTATTGAACAACCTACTACCTGTATACTTTTGATCGTTCTATATCGACATATGCATGCACCGTTTAAATATTTAAATGACGCCCAAAAGACATACATAAGCTTTTAAAATATATTACAAGCAGTGCTGCAAGCCAATATAAGAGAAGTTGTTGGTTCAATTTACAATTCAAATCAATACCCTGACTTTCGGTTCGTTAACCCGGGCTTACGCCTGAGCCCAGACTTCTTCTTACTGAAACATTTCCATTTTGTAATTTTTAATTGGCTGTTTAATTGAAATTATTCCAAGCCATGGACAGTTTTTCAGATAAAAGTTGTGAACTACATTTGATTATGGCAGGATAAATGCACCGCTTTGAGGCTGAATCTCTTTCAAATGTGATTAAGTTTAAACCAAGCTAGTTTTAATCGGATGCGGCTGTGTTTGGAGCAAGGCTTTAAGCATTCGGTTGGCTTCGGTCCTTAGTAAAATATTTCATGGTTGCAGCTTTGAATTCGAAGGAACATTTGTACAATTGGTTACACAATATTGACTCTAGACCATTTCAAAGTACCCTCATTACACGTAGTTAGTACAATGAGATTCAAGTTATTTGTAGCACATTAGAAAAGATTTCTTGATCCCACTTACATATTTAATGCTGAATCTAGGCAAATAAGTAGTTTTATAGAATGTTTAAAGCGTTATGTTTTTCGTTTGATTTAAGCTGGTTGTTGCACGACTTTTTGTTTGTTTTTTATTTTCGGTAGTGGGATTCGCTAACAATAACAATAAACAAACGTTTCCCGCCGCATGCTTGCCGAACCCAACCCAACCCAACCCTGACATACTGATCAATCTCTGGACTGTTGCCGCCACTGTCACCGCTTTAGGGCGTTCGATAAGCCTGGGCTCCAATCCGGCGCTGCCGCTGCGGCACGGCTCGACGCCCACGCCCGGCTTGCGGTACAAGAATCTGGGCAAGAGCGGTCTGCGTATCTCGAACGTGGGCTTGGGCACATGGCCAGTATTCTCGCCGGGCGTCAGTGATGAGCAGGCCGAGGCCATACTAAAACTGGCTATCGACAGCGGCATCAATCTATTTGACATCTCGGAGGCGCACTCTGAGACAGAAATTGGCAAAATATTGCAGCGCACGGGTTGGAAGCGAACCACCTATGTGATCACAACCAAAGTGTACTGGAGCACCAAGTGAGTTCACTTGTTATACTTAGCTAACTATATTCGAGAAGTAGTCAAACTTATGTGTTTAAATTGAACAGATCCGAGGAGCGGGGCCTATCACGCAAACACATCATCGAATGCGTGCGAGCCAGTTTGCAGCGTCTGCAGTTGAACTATATCGATATTGTCATCATTCACAAGGCAGATCCCATGTGTCCCATGGAAGGTGGGTACTCTCCACTTATACTTTAACTACATATAAATAAGTTCGTACGGTTACGAATTTATTTTCGGTGCTCAACATTATTAAACTTAACTTTCGAAAAATCGGTGCAAAACTTATTCTTTTCCATCCGATCGACTTTAAACTCTTTCACAAATATCTAAACGCAATTTATTATAATTTCACCGGTTGCGAGTAAACCACTACACCAAGTGGAATTGGGAAAAGTAGAAACGGAATATTTAAATTTTCCAAGGGCCTGAAATGGGTGAAAAGCAATGTGAAAATAAATGCAGAAAATTAATTAATTAATAATTAAAGACCAGTAATACTCGCTAGTTATACTTGTTCCTATTTTTATATATGAAATCCCTATAAAAACCCACTTTATAATGATTCACCGATTGCGGAAAATCCACTCCACCGACTGGAATCGCGCAAGAATATTTACATTTCCAAAGGGCCTGAAATGGGTGGAAAGAAGTGTCAAAAATGATGCAGAAGATATTGTTATACCTGCTATTTATATTTATTCCTATTCTAATACCTATATTTGATGACGATATCTATGTGTAAATATTTACAATTCTTATAACTATATACAGAAACATACTTATGCCAATTTGTATACCAATTCCTTTGCCTATATTTATACCTATTTATTATAGGCATATGTATCAACTATTTACCCTTGTTCCTATTCTTATATCAATATGTTATACCCACATTTTTGCGTAGATATTTACATTTATTATAACTATATATAAAATAATACTTATACCAATTTTTACTGCAATTTCTATGCCTAAATTTATATATATTTATTATAGGCATAGGCACTTATGCCTGTATAACTACAGTACTATTCGAACTACATTTATCTAAGCTGTATCCATATTTATGCCTATATCTCTTACTGAACATTGCTTGCAGAAGTGGTGCGAGCCATGAGCTATGTCATCCAGCAAGGCTGGGCCATGTATTGGGGTACCGCCAGATGGTCTCAGGTTGAGATAATGGAGGCGTATACCAACTGCCGGCAGTTTAACTGCATAACACCGATTGTTGAGCAGTCGGAATACCATATGTTCTGTCGCGAAAAGTGTGAGCTCTACCTGCCCGAGATGTATAACAAAATAGGCGTGGGTCTGATGGCTTGGGGACCACTGTCCATGGCATTGAGCGATACGCAGAATGGGGACAAACTGTTTTTGCCCAAGAGCTCATTCAAGACCAAGAGCTTTTCGTGGACCGAGGATGAGATCAATCGCAACGTGAGTTCGCTTATATTGCATATTATAATGTATTTAGCATTAAGAGATCCCCTGTAGGCCGCACTATCGCCGCAGGGTAGCTGGGGCAAGGATCGGATTGAGGAGGGGCGACGCCATTGCGATCGGTTGCGTGACTTGGCCGCGCTGGCCGAGAAACTTGGATGCAGTCCGACACAGCTGTCGATTGCCTGGTCACTGAAGCACGAGCCCGTTCAGTGCCTTCTGTTGGGCGCCACCTCGGCGGAGCAGCTGCATCAGAGCTTGCAATCGTTGCAGGTGAGTTGCTTTGCAACCAAATTACATATCCCCCAAATTGGGCTGATCATGATCATTGTTGCTGCCACAGCTATTGCCGCGGCTGTCGTCCAGCGTAATGCTGGAATTGGAGCGGATATTGGAGAATAAACCGGTGCGACCGCCAATGATATCCACACTGGCGCTTCGGTGACAATCAGCCTGCCCGCAGGGCCCACTCAGCCTAAGCGGCGGTGGGCCCTGCGGTGCTGATTCGCCAAAGCATGAGGAGGAGGCTTTCATTGAGGAGGCGGATGCCAAGGAGGCTGCAAAGCAGGGTTTCTGTGTTATTCAGTGACGAAAGGAGTCCTTAGATAATGATAATAAATTTTTGAAAGTGATTAGCAGTAAAACTAGCCTAAGTAGCAATACTATGACAACAACAATAAGCAAGCATGGGGTGCAGCAACAGCAGCAACAACAACTGCAGCAACACAATCTGCAACATTATCAGCAGCTAGCCTTACCACCACCAGCAGCAGCAGCAGCAGCAACAGCAGCAGAAGTATCTGAGCCGCCAAGTGGGTCATCAGCTGATCCATTTGATACGCTTAACAACAATGACATTGGCAGCCACGAGGAGCGGGAATCGGGTGCTGGCCAGGCGCAGGCAAAGGGTCTGAAGCGACGCTCCTTGCTCAATTTCAAATCCTTCGACTTTCACATCAAGACACTGTACAGTGGACTGCGTGCGGGCGCACCGGCGAGCGCTGGCCACAAATCAGAGTCCGGCTCGCAGTCGCAGTCGCAGTCGCGCTCATCCTCGTTGGGCGTGAGTCTGGCCGTGCCGCCGGGTGGCGCTGCGAACAGGCGCATACCGCCGCATCTGCGCATCGAGGGCGTCGATGTGGATGAGGAGCAGGCGCAGGAGTCGATGAAATTATTGCTGGATTATTCCCAGTCACCGTTTACGCCGCGACGCAACTCCAGCACTCAACTGCTGCACAGCGGCTCGCCGGCACTTTCGAGCACCTTGTCGCCCTACTATCTGTCGCCATACATGATAGCCGGCGGCGGCGGCGGAGCAGCGGCCTCCACAGCGGTCGCCGACGACAGCAGTTCGGGCAACATACGCCGCTCCTCGACCTCCGATATTGTTGGCTGCCGACGTCGCGGCTCGCCGAGCGCCAACAGCAGTCGCCGGCCCAGCACCTCGGATCTGTTGCGACGGGCGCGCGAACGGCGCGGCAGCGGGGCGCGCATGGGTCGCAGTGTTTCGCACAGTGCGATGCGCGGCGGCGGACCAAGCGGCGGCGTCGGCGGCGGGCCCAGCTGCATGGGAGGCAGGCGCACTAGCATGGCGTTCTAGATAGTATATACTTAGAAGAAACGCTGCAAATTGAATTCGAACCAGCTGACAAATGGCGCTTATGAATTTTTACTAATTACACACGTAGAATGAACAACAACAAAAAACCAAAATTTCAAGAATAAAAAAAAATTTATAAAGAACAACACCAGCAAGTAAGAAGTTTTTTTTGTTTTTTAAACCAAACACAACCAAGCAGAAAATATAAATAAAAAATAAAAGTAAAACACAAGTACTTATATGCATATATTTACTACTATGTATACTTAAAATATATATATTTCAAATGCCTAATGTTATATGAGACACTAAACCGAAAAACGAAAAAGAAAGAACAGAAACAAATATAAAATAATATTCATTTTCATCCAAAAGCTGCTCCTAACTTGAAAACAAACAGTTATTAACGAATTGTCCCCATCTATCTATAAAGAATTTGTTACTATCTATCGCTTTACTTGCTCGTGCCCCATTTTTGATGACAATATTAGATCCTAACTGTAAATGATCACAGCTCTCAACACTTTTTTTTCTTTTCGTTAACTTTGTCTAGAATGCGCTTTTGCTAAATATTTGCTTTATTCACACACACACAAACAAACACACACACATTTTTAAGATCACAAACCTTATGTGAATGCTCATATCAACTAAAAAGAAAAGAAAAAAAAAAAACAAAAATTGAATTCATAAAAACAAAAGGTTTTTTTAAATAAATTAGCTAATGAATAATTAAAGTAACGAATGTTGGCAAGCAACAGCAATAAAATGCATCAAATAAACAAATAAATTTTAGCTAAGAAAAAAAGAAAACAATTTGAATCAAATCTTATAGAAATAGTCATTATGTATTTAAAAAAAGATAAAGAAAATCAATTTGAATCTAAAAACAAGAAGTTTTTTTCAAAGAACAAGATTTAACAAATGCCTTTTATTAAACAAAACAAAGAACAAAGTTTATATTTTAAATAAAATAATATTAAAAGCAAATTAAAATTAAATTGTTATCCATTGAGTGCAGATACACACACACACACACACCCACCCACACACACACACACATCGCTCAATATGCATTTTGTTAACACCATTTTTTCAGTCACAGCCTTGAGATACTTATGCATAAAATATAGTTAATATATATATATATATATATAAAGCGAGTATATAGGGTGCATACTTATATACGAATTAATTAGCGGTATATGCGTATATACAGCGTATACATAATACATATTTACAAATACATATACAAATCCATGCGTATATACATATATATATATACATATATATATATCTATATATATATTTTATCATTCAAGTACATAAAGTCTTTTCACATACGGACTGTGATTTCACGTAAAGTAAATATATACATATATTTAAAATAAAACTAATAATTAAAATCATAAATTAAATAATATAATAGTTTGTAAAACATTCTAGTTTAATCAAAGCAAAGACAAAAGTAAAAGTAAAACAAACAAACAAACACACTAAACGAGTTAGCAAGAAGAAAACAAAAAGGTTCATTATTGAATTATTATTAAATATATATATATATATATACATACATATGATGTACATAAGCATATAATATGTGATGCATATATGACATGCATATGGACACGTAGCACATGCTAAGTAAAGCATTTGCCTAACTGAGCTCTGACATTTTCAGGCCAGCTACGAAATTTGAATACAAAAACGAATTACGAAATACGAAAAAAGAGGGGCATATCCTAAACACAATGAAATATTAAGAAATATGTAGAAAATAAAAAGTGGCTAACAGTTGACACTCTGTATTCACAATTAAAATGCGTTTGCGTTTGCCTTAATACACAACTAAAAGAATACTTACAATTAATTACAAAAGTAATAGATAAATACAACAAATACTTACACACACACACACACACACACTGGCATTTGTTAAGAGACGAGAAATCATGAATGGATATAAGCAAAACATAAAGTCAGGCCGGTTTCCTCAATCTTCAGTTGAATTACGGTTGAGCTGCCTGATTCTCTCTATCCTTAATGCTAACTGGTGCTTGAGAAATCGTGCCTAATATACTTATATGCAAAAAACGTAAAAGTAAATGAAAAACAAAACAAACATCAGGCCGCTGGCCAAAGGAAAATTAACCTTATGTAATTTAAAATTAGTTCAACACAGATAACGTACTTTTTTATTACCTTAAGAATAACATTTGCATTTTTTGGTAGTTAATCCGTCCTCAGTAACGGCCAACAGACAAGAAGGGCATAGTCGATAGTTCGCGACTATTCAAAACCCTGTACCCAATTTTAAATACATCAACAACTCAGCAGCTTCTAAAGCGCGTAGCATTGCCTGATTGAAAACAACCCTAAACAATTAAATGCGAAATATATTCATAGACCGTAGTGCATCCAAATATATTATTATATACTTAATGATAACAACAAAAAAAAAAGAAAAAAATAAACACTCAACATTTTATTAATAAATGCTTAGAAACGATATAAAACTTATAGGAATGCAACTAGACTGGCGGACGGACAGATGGAAATAAGTAGCTTTATGGTCTCGACATAAGTATAAACTTAATATAAGTAAGCTGATCAATAAAACTTAGGAATCTGTGGAGCCTGACACGTCTAATACGCTGCACACACAACCATATACCCTATACGACAATTACAGGGTATGCATTGAAAACAAAAAAGGAAAAAACACATTCAGTCAAGCATAAGCAAATATAATTACTGCACTCGACCATGTCCCAGCTCAAGATACCCTGTGCCCCCCCTAGCCCAATCGGACTGCCTACATACATACGCATATGGAAAACTTTTGACTACTCTAACTCCTACATGGTTAACGTACTACTCGCAATCAACTGACCTTTTGATCCAAACTTTCCCAGTTATTTCGCTGGCACAGTCAGTCTTTGGGTACAGGGAATGCAGATATGTACATTTATACCAAATACATATGTAAATGCATGATGCCAATGGAAAGCAATAAAAAGTGTCGGTGAAAAGTTCAACTATTAAATTAATTAAAGCAATACGAGAAGAACAACAAGAAAAATATGTTTATAGATAAACAACAAGGAAATGAACGCAAAATTAGCGCAGGTGCATTGTAGTTAAATGTTATTTTTTGTCTGTTGTTATTATTAACACCCGTAGCTAGTAAATTATAAATTACAATTTACAAATGAATTCAACAAATTGAACAGTTCATAAAATGCCAACTGTAGCAAATAACGAAACAAAGCAAACAGAAACTAAAAGTATTAATTAATATTTGAAAAGATTATAATTATAAAACAAAAGACCGCTAGTGAATAATCTAGACAACAAATTTTACTTTACACAAACAAAAAAATGTGTTAACATATTCATGCAGAATAATAATTAAACAATTAAACAAATTCAAACAAACAAATTGTGCGTTGGGCACAATTGACAAGTACATTAAATAAATATACATATATATTTATTAAAACAAAATAACGGCAACAACAATTACAAAATGCATTAATATCCAACAAAGTTATTTTCTTAACGAACCTGGCAATAATAATTGTAGCAAAATAAATACTTGCAAGCGCCTAATAACAATTCAAAAACAACAACAATTCTCAGTAAAAATGAACAAAACTATTAACAGTCATTTCAAAAATAATAAACTAAAAATCAAAAAAAAATTAAAATAAAAACGAACCACAATAAACTCAATTAAAAAAAAGAAAAAAAAAACAAATGTAAGCAAAAAGTAAACTTTGTACTAGATAAATGCACATACACTTCAACACATGAGTACGTATGTTTATAAGTAAAATTGGCGGGTTTGAACAAACAGCTTAAAGCAAGGCCAGAATACTTTCCGACAGAGGTCAAACATAGGAAAATTTTAAATAACATAAAACAAATTATATGAAAGTCACATGCAAGCAGACAAAACAACTCAAGTAACCCAAGAGAAAAAGTAAAAACTAAAACTAATTCCGATATAATTACAACATTGTTTTTGATACTTAATAACACAAGAGAAAAATAAGTATAAAAGATATACTACGTGCATACGTCGTAGATGTATCGGTTGCTATATAATATATATTTGCTTTATAATAATGGCGATGAATACATAAAACTACACCAAGAGCAAATCGTTTACAATTCACTCTAAAAATACATTTAATATTAATAATTCTAAAAAAAAAAAAAAAAAAAATAAGAAAACCCCAAAAAGGTTATAGCATGAACGGCAATAACACAGCTCAAATTCTGAGAACTTATATAAAATACAAACTCCTTTCTTTCAAACAAAAGCGACATGATTTTCTACTATATATTTCCATAAATTTATATACATAGATATTTATTTAGATATACATTCATAATGAATGTATGTTTAAACAAGGCTACTGGTCCAGTTGACGGTTCAAACCCATTGCTGGTGGATCCGTTGACGGTTCAACCCCGTAGCTGCTGGTTCGGGTACCGGTTTAAATCTATGGCTAGTGGTTCTGTTGACGGTTCAAACCCATTGCTAGTGGTTCAGTTGATGGTTAAAACTCATAGATGCCGGTTCGATTGACGGTTCAAACCCATTGCTGGTGGTTCAGTTGACCGTTCAACCCCGTAATTGATGGTTCGGTTACCGGTTTAAATCCATGGCTGGTGGTTCGGTTGACGGTTCAAGCCCATGGCTAATGGTACAGTTGACGGTTCAAACTCATAGCTGCTGGTTCAGTTGACGGTTCACACCAAAAGCTGCTGGTTCGGTTGACGGTTCATGCCCATGCCTCGACTTAAGCTTCATTTCGTCATCCTGATTTTGCACATCTAAGAACCCAGATTTCAGTTGGAACGTTGTTTTTCACAATTTTTACTATCTACATCTTTTATTACATCCTGAACCCATTGAAAATAGTTGGAAATGGTATAATAACTGTATATATCTTCTTGATCAGGTTGGACTAAATTAATAACTATTTCTAGCCATGTCCGTTCGTCCGTTTCCATCTGTTGTATATTTACAATAACCTATGCACAGAACTCATTTATAATGGTTTTTCGATATCATAATATCGACAAAAATCGGTTTTGAGGCTTACGACATACGACGCAGAGCTTAGAGTAACTTCTAGTATTAAAAGTGCTTCAAAACACTTGAAAAATTGAATTTGTTACAGGTTTCGGTTCATAGATTCAAATTCATAATCATGTTTTTATTTCTGGATGTCTAGAATTGTCTCATAACGCCAAATATACCCAAAAGACGAGTTCTTAGTTGATTATTTCATGAATTTTTCAGCTGTCAATCGCATTTTATTCAAAAACGAAATTGGACTAAGCATAAATGGTTTGTATTAAGAAATCGAACCCAAAGCACTAAACTGCGAACCTGGTGTCTCGTGCAGCGGACAATCATTCGCTTCCGTCGTCCATCCATTCTTCTTCGACCTAACCCAAAGATATGTTCCAAGTCTAATCTCTATATTCCTATTTTTCAGCTTGCACCCCGTACCACGCCAGGAGCTGGGGATGATGTCCGGATTCCCCTAATTGTCAACAAAATCAAGTAGACACCAATAAGCTTTGTATATTATGCTAAGCAAAAATATGTGTACAAGTGCGAACAAATAAGTTGAATTGGGAATTGGAATACATTGGCTATGCCTCTATAAATAACATGATAATGGATGTGTAGCCACAATGTTGTCATTGTTCATGTTTCCATGTTAGCAGCATTCAAATTTTCCTTATTATATTTCTAACATTTAGTAACTTGTTGATGACAACACACATTAATAATCAACATTGTCAGCGTCAGCCCAATCCAACCAGAAGCGATGGCCAGCGATTTGGATCAGCTGCCCCTGTCCAATCTCGAGAACCGACTCTGCCAATGCAAAGTTGCCTAAGTTCTCGACTTTCCACTCTTCGTAGAAGGTGTAGCCATCGAATTCCTCAGAGGCCACAGCCTCGACACGAAACGGAACCGCAACTGGAGGAATCGACACAGTCGAGTCTGTGGAAAAAACAATCAAAATCAGGGGCCATGCCTTGGCAGAATGGGTTAGCCCTACCTTCAGTATTCCCGATCACGTTGTATGGCTCCAGAGGATACTTGTTGCCCTTCTCGTCCACCAGCTCCCAGGTATGGAGAAGGGCTGAGCGCAGGAACAGCCCCCTGGAATGGTCATAGTTCGGTTCTTGCATGATAGCGTTCAATTTGAGCCTTAGACTGCGCACGAGCAAGACAAATCTTGGAAATCGAAAATATTTTGGGAAGCTTTTTCACAAAACAACAATTTCAATTCTCATTTACCTCAGAAGGTTAAAGCAAGGCAAGCCAAACAATGAGCACGGCTCTGAATATTATTGGATGGCAACCTTGTATATAAAAAAGCACAATAATAATAAATTTAACATTCAATTCAGCTTCTCAATGCATTTATCTTTAATTGGGATCTGGTGGAATTTGATTTTTTATTCGATTAGTAAGCAATATTGGCTTTTTTCTTAATTGTGCGATAATTACTTCGATTTCAGGAAATTGCTACCGATTGGAAACTATTTATCAATCAGTTTTCCATAATCGATAACCATTCAATTATAAATACCAGCCACAGTAACCGTGAGATTCTATTGATGCCATCTCTTACCAACTGTTGTAACTGCTCTTTTAATTATGATTTTAATGATGGGGGTCTGGGCGATGCTAGACGGAATATATGTATATATATATTTTTTTTGACGGCATGAGAAAACCATTTAATTTAAAATCTGTCATACTTAGACAATTTATAAATTTGTTCGTGGGTACGAGCAGGGTGTGTTTCATTTGGGTTGGATTCGAGCCGGAATATAAAATGATGCTTTGTCGCTTCTAAAACATAGGTTCGTTCTAGATTGACATCCGAGAGTAACTTTTAGAAGAGCTATTGTATTTTATATAACCACCCAGGTAATATTCTATTATAACAAGTAAGATGTTCTAGTCGGGAGCTCCCGACTAGGAGATACCCTGAACCCTCTTCTTCCAACAGGCGATAGGTATAAAATGAAAGCTACTTGATATATACATATATATACTATTATAGAAGCTACATGTCAAGTTTGGTGATTTTAGCTCTTATTTTTTACCAAAATTGCTCAAAAAACAGAATTTCGATATCATTTTGTATCGATTACTTGGAAACGGGGCAAGTTATCGAATATCGAAAACAAACTCGACCTACAGCTTTTTCAAGTCTCTAGCTCTTATAGGTTCTAAGATCCTTGCGTTCATACATACGGACGGACGGACGGACGGACAGGCAGACAGACGGACATGGCTAGATCGACTCGGCTATTGATGCTGATCAAGAATATATATACTTTATGGGGTCGGAGATGCTTCCTTCTGTGTGTTACATACATTTGCACAAATACATTATACCCTGTTTACCAATTTTAATGGGTTCAGGCTATAAAAAAAAATTGACAACTGGTCCTCTGGAAGCTTCTCTTTTTGCGGGCTACATGGATCTCTCTTGCCTTATATTTTTCTATTGTGATCCGTTTTGTCCCGTCCGATCCGCTTCCTCCCACTTGTTAAGCTTTTGTTTTCAACTTCCTTCATATATTGGAGTTTCTCTTCGTTCAGCCGCTGCAGGAAAGTTAAGCGAAAGTTAAGTTAAGAGGAGGAAGAGCCCAAACTGGTTGGTGGTACTCTTAAAGTCTGAATTTATAACGAAGGAATTTGTAATTTGGGTCTTCTGGCATGTGGAGGAATCATATTTCTCCTCAGTATTTTGTTGTTTTTTATTGGACTAATACATTCGAAAATTACTCCGACGCATGTGATGACTTTAATAATTCCTCCTTTTTTGGTTATTTTTTCGGACAGCTTGGATCCTCTTCTTTATCATCCGATCGGTTTCATACATGCTCTCAAGATTCTTGCCCCACGACTAATATGGTAGTAAACAGTTGATTTCACAGTTTAATTCTTAATTCGATGGATTTTAAACTTATTTTTAAATATCTTTGCTAAATTTAACTTAAGACGTGGAGTTAATATTTTCCACTGGCGTGTACTTGATGAAAAATGTATGTCTAAAATTGTTGGCATAAAACTTGCCACGGGCAAGGCAGGAGAGTACCTGCTATATAATAATATGTTTATATGTATTTATGATTGTATGTATGTATGAATGTATGTTTGAGTGTATGTATGAAGGTATGTATGTATATGTGTATGTATGTATGTATGTTTGTGTGTGAATGTATGCATGGATTTAGCAAATGTAAACAAAGTTAAATTCAAGCAGCGCAGCAACATTTAAAAGCAACGTACTTCAAAGTGGTGCCTTACTCCTCGATTCTCATGAATTCAAGTAAGCCTGGCAGGTTTCCTTGCTATGACTATTTTATTTTTTTTTTTGTGAAAAGGTGTTGTGTTCATATAAAGGTATGTGCTTGCATATTTAATAATGTTTGTATGCAACATATGTATGTATGTATGTATATATGTATGTAAGTATGTGTTTATGGGTGTGTGTATGTATGGTATGTGTACGTATATGTGTTTGTATGAGTGTATGCAAGTATGTATGTAAGTATGTCTGCATGTATGTATGTATATATGTACATAAGTATATATGTGGATATGTATGTATGTATGTATGTATGTATTAATGTATGTATGAATGTGTGTATGTATGTATGAATGTATTTATGTATGTATGTATGTGTGTATGCATATGTGCATGTATGTGTGTACGTATGTTTGCATTATGTAGTATGGATGCATGTTTATTTGTGTGTAATTATGTATGTTAGTTTAAATGTATGCATGTATATAAGAGTTTATATATGCATTTATGTACATAAGAGTTTTTATATGTGTGCATGTATATATGCATGTATGTGTACACGTATATGTTTTGTATGTATTTATATAAGTAAATGAATGATGCATATATTTGTAAGTTTGATGCAAGACCAAGTTTATCCAAGTTTTAACTATTGAGCTGAGCTACAAATGAACAGTAAACGTATTCATAAATATTCTCTGATTCAAGTAAGGTTTGGCAAGCAACCTGCGATTTTAAGCTAATAAACATAATCTTTGCTTTTCTCTACTTTCAGTGATGTGTTTCTATAATGGCTCGTCTCCCGCCTACTGAGAGATGACGGTAAAATAATCGTTACAAATATATATTAGTTTCTATAAATAAAACTTTTCGTCCTGATTGTCCTGCTCGTCCATTCACATTTGGTATAAATTGGGGTCAAAGATTTGGGGGTGAAGTTTCGCGCTTAATTTCATTTTCACAGATCTATTTAATAAATTTAATTTAATAAACGAAAGTTTATTTTCCGGCTTCAAGATTCTCCCCACAAGACTAACATGGGCGGAAACCGTTGAATCCAACATTTGGTGCATTATTCGGTGCACATAAACTTATTTATAAATAGAAGTGGAGACCAAGATCCACGGGCGTGAACTTTGTGTAAAGGTAATATCTTCAATTTTTAGCACCAAACTTTCCACGGGCAAGGCCGGGCAATACCCGCTAGTTTTTCTATAATTCTCAGAAATTCTGATGTTTCTTCCTTCTCCTAATTTTGCATCATGATGGTATCTGATGCTAACTTTTTAAAAATTAGCCTTTTTCCGAGCTAGATATCATCCGTGGAATCGATGTCATCTCATATATGTATATTAATAAAATCAATATAAAATAATAAAATTAATATAAAATTAAGCTCGGTTAATTTTTTTATTGGATGACAGCTTTAAGGCTGAATCAATTGGACCCTAAGTCATTCGACACTTAGCTTAGCCAAGTACTTAACAGGGCGATAACATATGTTAAGCAACTCGATGTTAAATTGTGCATGCTGAAAAATGCAACCAGATGCAAGCGAGCTCTTTGAAAATGTTGCTGAGTCTGGTTGTCAGCAAGCACAACATGCATATCACGCTGATCCATTGATTTCAGTTATTTAATATGTTTAAATTAATTTGTTGCTTAGTTTGTTTATACCAGCTCTTTTTCGCCTATCGTAAATACCCTGTTCTGTCTGGGTTGATCGACCCTCTCAAGTTGTAGCACTTGAGTATTGTGCACCTGATTTTTTATTTACACACTAGGCTCGAGGACCGGAGAGCTTGGAGTATCTCGATGGACTTCTTATCAGTTGCCGATGGTATCGTCTGGCTATATATGAAGAACGATTCGTTGTAATGTAGTATATTCTCTGGTTTTGAGAGCTAGCTTCTCGGATAGTTATATCAGAGCATTCGGCGGGAAACACTTCCCGGTTCCTTACCAAATAACCTTGAAATTCGTTTAGTTTTTGAGTGCATGCTGCTCGCTTTCTCAATCCATTTCAATTCAGTTCCTCTCTCTCTCTCTCTCTCTGTCTCTCTCTCTCGCTCTTTGTGTGTATCTCTCTCTTTCTCTCCCTCCCTCTATCTGTCTTAAATATTTCCTACCCATACGATCTTCCTTAGAGCGTTTAGCATACAAAAGCAACTCCGAAAGTAAAATACGTTAGAGGCATAAATTTATTAAAATTAACAAAAAGAAAAATAAAGAAAAAAAAGGGGTTTTTAAGCTAAAAATCTTATATATCTAACAAATTATATATCTAAGGATTTTACAACTTGCTCCGTCTGGCAAAGGCCATTATCTGGGCGCGATAAGTCGGGCCGCGACGCAATGCGTCCAGCTGGTCGGACTCTGCATCCAAAGCATCTAGCAGTTGTTGGCGCCAGGGCTGCAGCAGCAGCCGCTTGGTGCTCATCAATGAGACGGTGGGCAGTCGCGAATGCTTGTCGAGGCGCGTCCAGAATTCCTGCACATTGTGCACCAGGCTGGCGATCATGCCATGACGCAGCGCCGCCTGACCGTCTAGGCGCTCGCCAAAGAGCAGCAATTCGGCGGCCTTGCTGCGGCCCAGCAACGCTGGCAGGGACCAGCTGGTGCCGCCTTCAGCGCACAGGCCCAGCTGTGAGAAGGGCAGCCAAAACTGTGCGGATTCCGTGGCATAGATAATGTCGCACAGTGCGCAAATGACCACGCCCAAGCCAATGCAATTGCCCTGGACCAGAGCGACCAGCACCTTGCGATTCATGAGCATCTTCTTCACCAGCGATTTCATCACAAAGTTCGAGGCACGAAAGTGTACATCCAGCGCCTCGTCGCCGCTCTTGCGCTGCAATGCCAGCAGATCGGTCAAGTCATTGCCCGATGTGAAGGCATTCGCATTTCCCGTCAGCACAACGATGCTGATCTGCGAATCCGCATTGGCCACGTCCAGGGCGCGCAGTAGCTCGTATATGGTGCGACGGCGCAGCGCATTCTGTACAGCTGGTCGATTGAATTGTATAATTAGCAGCCGGCCGCGTCGCTCAATTAGCAGCTCCTTAAACGTATTGAAATTGTCCGCAGCAGCAGCAGCACCTCCAGCACCAGCTTCACTCATTGCAACGTTGGAAGACAGACTAGTCGGACTCCAGAGTTCCACTTTATTTAATTGCCCCTCCACAAGAGACAACAGGCTTCGGTAAATACATAAAGACACACATACAGTGGCAGACAAAAAAATTCGGACAGGACAGAAAAGTATTTGATTTCCCTATGGAATATACAAATTGCAGTATATCCGGTTTCATGTATAAACATAAATATTTAACAAATAGTACAAAAGTAATTGTATGAATATTTTTGGCGGCCACTGTATGCCACTATGCGTACATATATGTACACAGTTTTCGATTATCAACATCGAGGAGGTCGCTCAGCTATCGCTGCTGCTGTGCGATCAAAGTGCAGCAGAAAGCAAGAGCGCTGAGTGCCATGCCCTCTTCCATCTCTGGCAAGCTGCTTGGGCCAATAACAACTTCGTGTTTACCCGAGCCACACATTTCATGAGAGAGCAGAATACATTAAAAACCAAGAAAAACGGCTATCTGCAGCACCCCAAAGAATAAATACCCTAGCAGCAATGGCTTAAAACTGAATCCATAAAAAGAGCTTCCGTTACGATCGACTGTTCCGGTAATAGCCACATAATATAGTATTGACGATTTGATCAGGTTTCGCAAATATCTGAGATGCATCGAGGAGCTCGTAATTGGTGAGCTTGGTTAAAGTATCTAGAAAGCCATACAGACACTTTAATCTCGACAGCTTTTTGTAGAGCTATATAATATAATAATCCGATGTTGATAAGATTTTGCGCATATGTAAACAGCATGGAGAATCTAGGCGCCAGATATCTTGACAAACCAAAAATATATTTTTTATAAAAGAACTCAGTTTTTGATCGAGTATTTCAATGGCAGCTAGAAAAAGAAGTGATTAAAGCTTTTAAGCTGAGAGACCAGTAGAAACAGACAGGCGGAGCTATATCGACTCGACTGTTGATTTTGATCAAGAATATATATGATATTTTATATGAAATCGGAGACGTCTCTGTCTATGCGCTACACATTTTGCGACAGCAAAATATAATACCCTACTCTACAAGTTCATCCATATAACCTGTTTAAAACTCGAGAGTTCATCCAGAGGGATTCAGCTCGTCGTTCCAATTGTATAATATGATTTTACTACTACTGTTACAGACATTTGAACAAATTGATTACACCCATTTTCAAGGAGTACATGGTATAAAAACTTGTTTGCAGAGTGTATTATAATATGATTCTAAATGTGTGGCCCAGAAAGAGAGGCAAGACTTGCCAGCCGGTTGCACGAAATAGAGATATGAACGTGTTTCACATACATCTGAGCTATGCGAGCTTGGAACGCAAACACTGATTACGGAAAAATAAAAAAAATAAAAAACTAACAGAAAAATTATGTGGGATTAAGAACTATCTTTGGCAAATATGAGCACAATACCGATTGCATCTAATAAGAAGACATGAATTATTCTTATCATTTGTTGAAACTCAAATTTGGCACTTATTTTCCACAAATAAGAAAAATACATAAGATACTCAGAATGCTAATAGGATTATGGTTCAGATTTGTTTGTCCACCTGAAACCAAAATACAAATGTATATATACATATATATATATATATATATATACGGGGTATGTAGGTACATTTATCTGAAGTCTCTAAGAGCTGACATTGATTTTAAGAGTCACGTATTAGAATGCTTATGCTAACTTTAATTTAAAACAGTTTGCTTTCAACAAGCTCTTAAATACATGCATACATGACCGAAGAGTCTCAACCGCCGACTGCAGCAGTGTTTAACACCAGCACGTTGGACAATTAGTGCTCATCCAGGTGAGAGAACTTCTTGCGTAGCTTCTCGCGTCGCTCTTTTTTAACATTGCGCCAGGGCTTGGCTGGAGCTTCGCCAGTTACCAGGTTGCCATCGTTTGCCAGACGAACATGTGGAAAGTTGGTGCGGCCCTTGACGTGCGCAACGCTCGGTTGAGCGTTAAAAAACTGCTGATCCAGCTCCTTGGACGTGCTCTTATTGATCTGTGGACAATAGCATAGGCATCAGTGGTGTGTACGCAAGCCTTTGGCGAGTGGGCAACTTACGCGCATGGCACGCTGCTGCTGTCCAGGCAGCTGGGACTCCTCCACCGGCTTGCGTTGGCGCTCCGGAAATGTGTGATACTCGGACTGAATGACAGATGGTGGGCCCAAGGCAAACAGTAGTTTGCCATTGACGTAGTCCTTGAGCACATAGCGAGCAGAGCGAGCCTGATCTGGCTGGCCATTCGAGGTCATGAAGCCGCGATTGTCTACGGGATAGATTGGTAAAGTATATTAGTGAAACGGTCTTAGGATTTAAAAGCCTGTTCTACTTACAGCCATAGGCAAGCAGCAGCTCTTCAGAGAAAGGTGGACGATCCGGATCTTCACCCTCCAGGGGCTTAGCTATCACAATGCCATACTTATCCTCGAGAATGTGGCGCGGTATGCGCTCGCAGAGCAAATTAACGGCGGGCACATGATCGCGCATTTGATCAATTGGCAGTATACCATTAAGCAACATGTCTGCCTTGGTAAGCACAAAGCTGGGCATAACCAGACCAGGACAATCACAAAGCAGAATGTCATTTTCCAGGAAGAGCGTCTGAAAGCGCTTTGTCTTGCCGGGCGTGGCCGACACCGAAACCTTCTTCACAGTCATTAAGGAGTTAATCGTGCTGCTCTTGCCCACATTCGGATAGCCCACCATACCGATGGTCACTTGCTGCGCGGTGTGTCTGGGCCCCGTGTAAATATGGCGCAGGAAGTCAATCAACTCTGTTCTGGACAGCAGATGTGCGCTGTTTTTGTCAGTGGGCAGCCTAGGCAGCTTAACATCCGTTGCGTCCGACGGCTTTGACTTCATCTTGTTCTCGATTACGTCCAGTGTTTGCTCAACAGCATCCAGCGACTGTTGAATCTCCTCGGCCGCCTCGCGCAGTTGCTTGAGTTCGAGCGCCGAGGTCGGCGATTCTGCTGCCTGCCTGGCGGCCTCAGCTTCACGCTTAAGCTCTTCCTCGACCAGCGTGGCGGAGTAAAAGGCTGTACGTATGCCCTCACAGTCAAAATATTGTGCCCAGTGCTGTCGCTGCTCCAACGTGAGCAAATCCGATTTGTTGACCAAAATCATGTTGAGTTTGTTGCTGTCAACCTCCTTAACATAACGCTCTAGATCGACGCTGCGAAAGAGCAGCGGATTACGTGCATCGACAATCTGGACAACGACATCGGAGCGTTCGACGACACGCCACAACTGGCGCCAGAACTCGAGATTCTTCTCGTAGGGCGTCATAAGAATTTCCTCGTTCTCCTGCAGGAGTGCCAAATCGCGACGCCAATTAAGAAACGCCTCGTTTTCGGCACGTTCCAAATCTTCGGCGCTAGTTTCCTTGTTCCATTTGGGGCGACGCGGAATCTTTAGCTGATCCCGATGCTCGGCGTGCTTCTGGTGCATTGTCTGCTCCTGTGTCTTGCTTAACAAGCCGACACGCTGTTTCGGATTAACAAATGTTATGTTGAGCTTCTCGGCCTGAAATTCAGTGCCTGCCAATTCTGCTGTGCGCAAGAATGCATTAAAAGACGACTCCTCAGTCACAGACGAAAGGTTTAAGCGGCCCCAGTCATACCCATCCTGCAGCTCCGTTGTGTGCAGCTGCGAATATGATAAGTGTATATGTAATTATTTACACAATATGGGAAACTATACTACGCACCATTGTGTCGTTGTCCACCTTGCGACGTGGTGTGTGACCGAAACGATCTTTGATTAGCTGGCGTCCCAGATTGGTGCCATCTTTGTTCTTTTTGCCCATTTTGGCGGAACAAAGTTGATTTTGAATAAATTCGAATTTTTTTAACAAAACACGTGCGACAATTGCAAACTCAGCTAAGAGTATTTACTGGCATATGACATGTTGACTTTGTACTTATCGATATATTGTTATTTCGATATTCACATCGTGAAATACCAAATTAATACTTCAACTGAGAGTGTTTATTGGGATAGGACGTTTCGACTTTGTACCTATCGATATATCGTTATTTTGCTATGGTACCATTGCCGGTATTTTAGAAAGGCTAGTTTTATATCGTTTATTTGAATAGGTAATAAAAGATTATTATATTTTTCAAAAACTTAAGCTTACAAGATTAAAATAATTGTTGTAGTATTTTGCATACAATTATCATTCAGTTGTCCCTGTATCATACGTGTGTAATTGTGAAATGTCTCTTTAAAAAGTGTTTAATTTTTGGTATGGCATCGCAGTTTGTTCAAAGATTCACAATATTTAAAAATAATTCTACATAAAATACACTTAACTACATAATGACATATATGAGAAATTGAGTGGCCAGAAATTGATGACTGTCACAAAAAAAAATGTTAGTAAAGTTTATCATCGTCATCATCATTCCAGACAATGGGCCAGACGGCATTGCGCGCACAATTGCCGCCCAATGCCTTACAGAATGTATTGAATGTGCTCGACTTGCTGAAACCGAGAATCTCCCGCTCCTCGTAGATGCGATAGGTGAACGTGCTCTCGTAGGTGCCCACAAAATGGCGGGCATAGGCGCAGATTAGCTGATCGACAATGGCCACGCCCCCATCCTTCAGCTGCTGCCGCTGTGCATTCGATTCCGGCGTAAAGTGCACAAACCGAAACCTATAGAAAAGCTCCTTCAGCTCGAGCAGCTCGTATGGCGTCGCATCGCTGGCCACGAACACGGTGGTCAAATTAAATGCGCGTAGCAGCTGCTTTATTTGCTGTGCCGCTGCCTTGAGTGTGGGCGTGGTTGATTCTCGAGACCTCACAAAGTCGCCGCGTCGCAGATGCGCGCACAAATAGTCGCCACCGCGTGCATCACGCTTGGGTCGCTCCAGCTCCCACATAGCAGGTCGCTGCACGCCGGCCGTGGTGTCCGTGGTGCTTAGCGAGACAAGTCGAAAGTCTGCGGCCACCCGATTTAGGAACGGAGCAAAGCGCATCGAGCGACGCGCCAGCCAAAAGTGCTCGTCGCCCCAATTGTCGTGCAGGACTGTTTCGGCGCTGAGCACCGCATAGACGCGCATGTCGTCCACATCCTCGACGCCCGCCGTATCCTCATCAATGGCCTCGCGCAGCATGCGCTCCAGTAGGCCAGCGCTGCCCTGAAAGCGTACGCAGTGATAGCGGCCGTAGCGTAGCAATCGCTGCTGCAACAGCGGACCGCCACTGATGGAGTTCTCATTGCAGGCTTCTATGCGTTGCCCATTGGCGTCATCATTGGAATTGGCAGTTATGCGCTCGTACTTGTCCCGGAAGACGCCTTGCTCCTTCATAATCTCGTAGTGCGTCAGCCGAAAAGCCTGCGAGACGTGAACGTAGGGCGGCGCCGGCATGCCAAATCTTCGGTACTCGGCGATAAACTCGTCATAGTCGAGGACGGGCGCATACCGTCTCAAGCTGTCCAAGTCAAAGAAGTTGCGCCACATCAAATCGGTCTGGCCCAGGCCGTGCGAGTGCCAGTGGTATAGTCGTGGCCAAGGAGGCAGCACTAGACGCACATTGCGAAAACGTTTGCGACGTCGCAGGCGACGCACAAAGACCGCCATGCGAATGTAGACATCGCGACGCAGATTGAAGCCCTCGGAGATGTTAACGTCGTAAAGAAGGTAAATGGTGCCGCGCAACGGTAGTATAGAGTCTGGACATGTCTGCTTGGCGGGTAGGCGCCAAAATAGCGGCCTTTGGCAGTTGCTGTTGTTCCTCAGGTGGCTGCTTTTTGCTATCGTGCTGTTATGCAGTGCTCGTCCGTTGACAGCCTCAGAAACAGCGACCAGGAGGAGAAGCAGCAGAAGCTCTGACCACTGCACTGGCCACCATTTTTGCATTATTAGCCGCTTTAAACACGAAAATAGGCGCTGGCTCAGTGCAAAACAAGAACTTGGAATGTTGATCTTCTTTCGATATCGATATATGAAAAAATTAAACTGTTGCAAAACTATCGATAGGTTTGCAAACACAGTGAACTCCAATGTTGTCAACCATACAAATTGGCTAAGCACTATGAAAAAATTATAATTAAATAAATAAATTGTGGACAAATTGAGCTAAGACTTAAAAATACATTTTTATGATTATTAATTGCCACCACAGTTAAATAAACAATAGCTAAGACCACGACACGAATAATTATACTTCTAATTTTTTCCTGTGCCTGCTTAAAACAAAATGCAAAATTAGCTATAGCACCAATTGCAACGAAGTTCCGAGTATTTGTCATTAAGATGGCAAAAAAAGCGAAATCAGTTTAAGACGCAACTGTTTTCGGCTGACGACCTCTGAAAACTAGTTAGCTAGAAAATAGCTAAAATAGGCAACACTTCTTTCATCATTTAACAAACACTCAATAGGAGACAGTATCGAAAAACGATACTTTCTGAAATTTGATAACTGCTAGAAAAGTAACCGTGAATTTATTCGTCGACTTGGACCGCTGCACGTGCCGGTGCTTCAAACTGTTTTGTTTGATTTTGTGTGTTCAGGTCGGATTAGGAAAATTCAAAGATAGAATTTTCTAAAAATTTAAATCATGAGCTCTCAAAAGCTGGAATACGATGCAAGCCTTGGCGGAGGCGTTACGCTGCCCAGCAATCTGCCGACCTATCACTATGCATCTGGAGCACTACACGAAATCAAGTCTATGATTGCGGAAGCCCAGAAGCCGGTCAGCAGTAAGCTAATCTTTCAATCATTGCCCAAGCACATGCGCCGTCGCGCCATGTCACATCATCCGAATCGCTTGCCGCGCAAATACCGCTCCGCCCACAAATGCCAAATGGCCAAGGCAGGCAATCAGCCAGTGGCACCAAAGCGCCCGTCGCGTAAGTATCGACGTCGAGCAAAGAATCTAATGCGTGAGTATATGCGCCGCCAGCGCAACCACATTTGGTTAGAGACCCATATTTGGCATGCAAAGCGCTTCCATATGATCGATCGCTGGGGATATCGGTTGGCCTATGCCAGTTGCGACAAGACCTACCGGGCATGCTATCGCGCCAGCTCCGAGCACTGCCTGGTTCAGGATATTTCATTTTACAGCTGCGTGCAGTTGGCAGGGAGCGTCGATCTGCTGCGTGTGGGTTTTGGGCGCATAACAAGTCCAGAGTGTGGCCTTGGCATTACGGCCAAGACATATATGAGCGGGCGACGCGAAGGCAGCATACAGCTTTTTGCCGATTCGAAGTATCCGTCGGCTGCCCTGCAACGCGTCCTCTTTATGTGGCGTCCCGAGGAACAGCCAGAGAATAAAACACGCCGGACCCTATGGCTCTGGCTGCATCCTGCTGGCGCTGAGGCAACCATTGCCCAACTAATCAAAGTTTTTCAGCTCAAGTCCACTAAGCAGGAAAGGCTGCCGCTATTATATGACTCAGACGCCCTGGTGCCATCAGCTGAATTGAACGAAGTGCCACTGCCGGTTGAATCGGTGGAGCAGCAACCGGATGGATCAAACAAGCAGCCGCTGCGTTTCTGGACATACACCAAGGCGTTTGAGCGCAACAGAAGTTACGCCAATGCGGACACAGATTTGCAAATGGTGCACATCAAGCACGAATTCAATCGCTTCCGTCTGACCGGACCGCGCGCCCAACGCGTGCTGGCCGCCAGTCTGCGCGCCTATCGTCAAAACCGCGAAGATAGCCCCGAGCTGCCCAAATCGGAAGATTTGCGGCTTGGCGACACTCCGGACCAAGCGCTAGAGCCGGCCGATTTCTGTGAGGCTGCACTGCAGCTGAGCTCGCCCAGCGAGCTACTTTCCAATCTGATCATCAGCGTCAATGTGGTCGATCCTCGTCTGCAGCGTCCCAGTATGCGCTGCAAGGCGGCCAGACCTGCAACATCTCTGGTCAACGCAACTCAGTTACATCTATCGCAGCCAAAGCAGCCGCCGTACAGCGATCTGTGGGACTCAGAGTTTCGCGAACGTCTCAGTAAGCAGATGATGCCGCAACATAATTATAATCAGCTGCGCTCCATGCATGCCATTGTGCCCGGCCAGCGCTGTGACTTTGAGGATCAAATGCAGCCACTGCCGCTCCTGCTGATACAGCGCCCAGGCTCCCAACAGTCACAGTACAAACGCTTGGGCTATGCTGCTGGCTGGGATGTGATTGTGCCTGCCCGTTATGGTCTGGTGCTTTGGCAGACGCTCATCATGTGGGGAGCCCGACCAGGTGGACTGCGGGAATTCGACTCGGTAGCCAGAGAGTCGGGCATTGATCATTATTTGCCGGACACTGTGGCCGGTAAGTCACTGCCCTAGCTCCTTTATAGAGCTGAATAATTGTTTGTGTGATCTTTTGGACAGGACAGCAGCAGGCATCGCAGACAGCTAAGGAGCGTCGTGCTCAATATTTTCGTCAGCCACCCAACAAACGCTGCAACTATCGCAAGCTGTCAGTGGTCAGTCCATTTATGGCGCCATGGCATTCGCTAGTGCGCGACTGGTCTGTGGAGCACTATAAGGAAACAAATGGTTATTTTGTGCTGCGCAATCGCGAGTTGTTGCAGTGCCTGGACGGATGCGTGCGCCGACGTCAGGAATTCCCGGAGACGATCTCAGAATTGTGTCTCATTCAGATTGAAGTGCGTATGCATGCGCGCGGCAAACTCAAAGACAATTCATTGATTTGCCAGCCAACCGCCCAGGACTGGGTGCGTCGTCGCCAGCAGCAGAAGCATGACGAGCATGAGCCCGTGCATACCGAGCCACTGCAGACCGACCTGAACGAAGGTTTACGCAAACAGTTGCGCCACAAACACAAGCGTCTGCTGAAACGCTTGCGCTCCCGTCGCGTGCGCGAGAAGCGTAAACTACAGGAGACAAGCACAAAGCGCGTCCACATTCGTCCGGCCAAGACAGGGCCTTTGATCTGCGAGCAGTTTGCTAAAATGTGTGACCTCTGGCTGCCCAGGGATCCAACCAAGACGCGCGACAGCGTGCGCCGTCAATGCAGTCGCGAGGTGTTCGGCTATGTGACCTGCGCCGGTTTCAGCTTCGTGGAGGCAGCCGTCTGCGGGGTGGGCTATATAACGGCTCGTGGATTGCGTCTACTGCTGGAAGTAAGGCAGCCGGGCGTGCCCCTGCTCTGCCTGGTGCGCAATGAGGACAGTCGTGACTATCGCTTCGCTCGCGTCCAAATAAATGTAAATGTCTCCGATGGAGTTTAGTTTAGAATACGCATTGTAGATATAAATGTAGATAGATAGATGTAGTTTATGTATGTTAAGTACAAATGTCATAAATATCGAATAAATATTCCTAACTGATTAATCAGCTTTTCGATTCATGATAAATCGTTAGAAATAAGTTGTACATATTTATTAAATAATTAAATTTAAAAGTACTTTGCCAATTGTTATACATTTTTATATAGTCACCTTACTCCTACACAGTTCGTGACATGCCAAATGTGAGTATATATGGAGCTTAGCCATATATAAGTAGAGTTGAATTGCAAATGACATTTACTCACTATTAAATATTATATATGCATTATTGTAATTTATTTTGTACCAAGCTTAGTTTGCTTTCTGCTGCACTGCAATAGAAAAATGACGCATTTTGAAATGCAGCCTTACTACGCGATTCTCATGAATTCACGTAAGCTCTATAGAACTGTTGTATAAAAAGCAAGTGTTTGATTTTCTCAAATCGCTCAAGAAGTACAACGCCTTATATCAAAGCACTATCTAGTTCCTTAATGGACTTAATTTATAAGCTAGATCATCATACATACGAAAAATGCGAAATTGGGAAATCTTAAGTTAAAAGAACAGTTTTTACATACTTTACCAAGTCAATCCCAATAATGGACACATATTACACATAAAGATATTTTGAATTACATGAACAGGAACATTGGCAGCTTAACGGTTCATTTGAATAGTTAAATAACATCTAGAGGACGCAAGCCACAAGATAAACCATACATAAATGCAAGAAAATAGCACTTTGACCTTAGCGTTAAAAACGTAACGCCAACAACAACGAAACTCTCGAAAAAAAAGAAACCGAAATCAAAGAAATCGCTTGATTACCATTTTAGATAGTGATTAATTATAACGATAAAGCTTCGCACCATGTGACATGTGTTGGTAAATACTGTGCCGAAAGTTCAGCTGTTAACAATTCGCCGTAACAGCGAAACGTTAACCAACACCTGAAAACTATTGATATACAAAGATATACACATACAAACAAACGCACACTTTCTTTCAACATAAAAGAAAATATTGTACTAGGGCATATACAACAGTTGCAATCAGCTTAAGCGAAATTCAAGAAAACAATCAGTAAATAAAACGCGCATATATAATTTTAACGTGGGCAGCCCTCCGCCTAACGGTGCATGCTAATAATTCATGAGAAAAAACATTCATTTTTTGTATGCACACAAATAAGAGATACTATTTATGTACACATGCGCACGCACAAAAGGCAACAGCTGGTCGCAATATTGTAAACATTAAAATTCAACTACAACCCGCAATCGAACAGCAGCTGCCCCGCTATCCCGCCACCCGCTCACTCCATAGATTTCGCTATCAACAAATATTTCATTAATTTATTACCTATTTATATGTGTGCGTGTGTATCTGTGCGCCGTCGTCTACTTGATTATCGCTGCCGCCTACTCCCAACTGGAGCATGCTGTCGTCGTAGTCAGCGTCATCAGCGTCATCGTCACATTGATTAGTAGGGGGCAAGGTTGGGGGAACAGTGGAACAGTGCGTCACGTTTGCTGATAAGCGGCGATCGATATGTCCGCAACAGTTGCCGCCGGTGAGAAGAACCTGTTGCGTGGCCTCAATAAGCTGCGCTCCCAGGGCAAGCTGACAGATGTGACGCTCATCGTGGAGGATCATCGCTTCAAGGTGCGTACAACTATTCCTGATATATCTATATATACTATAGCTGGTCTATGTTGCAGGCGCATCGTGTGGTCCTGGCGGCCAGTAGCGACTACTTTTGCGCCATGTTCGCAAACTGTGCCATGATTGAGTCGCGCAAGGAGGAGATCACACTATATGGCGTTACGGCGCGCGCTATGAGCCGCATCATAATCTTTATATACACATCGCTGCTGGAATTGAATGTGGACAATGTGGAGGAGACGCTGGCAGCAGCCACCCATGTCCAGGTCAAGGAGGTCATTGAGCGCTGCACCGTTTTTCTCGAGCAAAAGATTAGCATGGACAACTGCCTGGCCATAGCGAGCATGGCCGAGATTTATGGTCAACTGGCGCTCGCCGAGCGCGCCTTTCGCTATATATGCGCACACTTCAAGGAGTTCGCCGCCAGCAACGACTTCAAGGATGTCAAACTGGAGCAGCTGCACTTTATACTGTCCAGCAACTATCCGATTGATGTCAGCGAACCGGAGCTGGTGCGTCTGCTCTGCAGCTACGGGCTCGAACAGCAGCTGGACGATGGCGCGTTGCTCGAACTGCTCCACCTTATCAAATGGCAGTACATCAGCTGCGACGAACTGAAATCGCTGCGTCATCACAACTACTCGCTGGTCGAGGAGTATCTGGCCAAGCTGCAGGAGAGCGGCAGCGGCCAGGAGTCAAGTTCTGAGGCACTCGAGCACTGCCTGCACCAGGACCAAGGGCCCACCAATATGCGCGGCATGGAACTGAGTCTGCTCAAAATTGGCGGTTTCGAGTGGAAGGGTCTGACTAATGAGATTATGTGCTTCTCGCCAACTAAAATGAAGTGGTACGAGTTAACCTCCATACCCCATATTGATCAATGTAAGCAATAACCATTCCCAACCACACTTCCCCACTTTTCCAAACGAACTAACCTAACCGAACCTTTTTGCAGGCAATTTTGGCACTGCCGTTTTGAACAACGAACTCTTCATTGTGGGCGGTGCTTACGATGTGTGCCTTAAGGAGTATATTCATCCGTTTGGATTTCGCTACTGCCCGCTGCGCGACTCCTGGGTGACGATAGCACCCATACAGCTGGACCGCTGCCGCTTCTCGCTCAATGCTGTGGGCAAGCAGCATCTGTATGCCGTCGGTGGCATCGTTGAGCACGACGATAATTCCGAAGAGGCACTGCGTCGCATATCCAACGTGGAGCGTTATGACATTGTCAGCAATACGTGGACTTATATGCCTAGCCTGCAGGAAAATCGCAGTCAGCATGCGGGCGTCGTTGTCGGCGACAAGCTCTATATCTCGGGTAATGTATAATTTTCCCTCTTTTTTTCTTTTATGACTCAAGCACTCAAACGGAATTGGAGTTAATTCCACAGACAAAGGCGAAAGATTCGTGTAAATCTTTTGTTTAGTTATTCGTCGGGTTTGAAATTTAAATCTTAAACATATATGCAGCGATTTCCACAAATGGAAATATGGATGAAAAGCTGGCAGCTTAAATGTTAAGCCTGGTCCGGATAAATCTGGGATTTATATGATTGACTTTTATTTTTTTGAAATCAGCTCCTATTTATCTTTGTTCATATTCAATTGAGAGAAGTTTCACACTTTTCGGGAAATCCACCCATGCTTGCTAAAAACGGAGATGAAAAAATTGGTGGGTGAAATCTTTCCAAGGATCTCTATGAAAGTTCATTTGGGTCGTGTTTTAGACATTTCGTATAATCCATCCCTCTTAGATAAAAAATTAAGGGTCAAAGGTTGTATGTCGGTTGTATGTTGGATTAAGCTTTTGCTTCTTATTCAATGGACTTTAAATTCATTAAATATACAATTTTTATGTAAAATATAACTTGAGACGTGGAGTACAGGAAGATTTAATTTTCCACGGGTGGGAAACGGGTGGAGAATTGACGTCTAAAATTGGAAGAAAATGACTAGGACCATGCAAGGCTGGGAAATACCAGCAAGTTTATAAATTAGTTTAAAAATGAATATAGTTAAATTGGTTTTCAAACACTCACGGAACTGTTTTCTCGCTCTCACCGTAGGCGGCATACACTTGGCTAACATATTGTCAAGCACATGGTGCTTCGACACGAAGAGCGAACGCTGGCTGGAACTGGCGCCGATGCCGACGCCATGCTGTGACCATGTGCTGGTGGCAATTGACAACCGCATCTATGCGTGCGGCGGGTGGCACGAGACGCTGAGGGAGTCACGCGTGCTGGTTGAGCATATCTATGCGTATGATATTAAGAGCAATACGTGGAGCGTGGAAACTAAAATACCCGCACCCAAATTCTATTCGGGCGTCACCTCAATGCGTCGCACCATATTTTTTGTGGGCGGACTGGACTCAACGGAGTCCATTGACCGCGCCAGTTCGGAGACCATGGCGTACGATCTGGACACAGGCAACTGGTGGCATCGCAAGGACTCATGGGATACACCAAACGATGTCTGGGAATCGACATGTGCCGCAATTTATGTGCCCAGCTTTGACTCCTAGCAGCGTGTCCCAAACAGCGCGCTTTGGCCAACGAATTTACTCGACATCTGATTTGATAACAACGCAATGCAAATATATAAAAATGACCCCCACCCCATGCTGAAAATGCTGTTCCCATGTTACTACTGTACAGTGAAGCAATGTGCCAAGCAAGGCCACCAAAACAATTGTTAATAGCAGGTCAACCGTTCGAATATTTAACTATTAGAAAAAATCTAGAAAACGATTTAAAATAAACATTTTCTTTTTGTTAGTAATATATGAACTGTTTTATAAATTAAAATGATCTTGAAGTAATTTGTATATGTTTGTGCCTAAGCAATTTAAAGTTATGTGAAAATCTTTTGATACTTTCTTGGTATTCCATTAGATTTGATTTTAATTATTTTCCAAGGTCGCTGGGCGGAAAATAGGTGGGCTGCTTTCAGCTTAACTTTAAACTTTTAAAGCCAAAGCCAAAATTGATCGATAATCGCTTGTTGGATCGTTTCATTTGAGTGGTTGAGTGGAAAATGGGTGGGCTTGCTTTTAGCTGACTTCCGATGTGCTTTATTATTACATTAAAAGCTGAGCAATCAAAATTCATCAGCCGGTTGTTAAGCACAAGTTATGAAAATCCAGCATCGCAGGTGGAAATTGGGAGAATCCGTGATAATAGCTGTTCTATTAACAAAATCAGGGGGTATACCACGAATAAAGAAAACAAAACAGATTATTTTTAATAAAGTTTACCATATTGCGGACGTACAACCCATTGGCAAATACTTTTATATATTTTTGGTAAGCGTTTGCTATCACATACACATATGGACATCATAATATATCGTCACATACATATGCACATGCATAACACTAGACTACTTTCA